GGTCTTATTTTCGGGGTAGGTCTTTTTTTTTTTTTAATGTTTAACAATCCAAAGTTAATGCAAGTCCAAATGAAATGATCCAAAATGGCGAAGCACGCTTTCACTATCGATTCCTCAGCGGTGCCGGCGCTACAGAGGAAACATCGGCTTATGCGGCTCTGCTCCCTGCGCTGCTGCCTCGCTTCCTCTAGCGCCGGCACCGCTGAGGAATCGATAGTGAAAGCGTGCTTCGCCATTTTGGATCATTTCATTTGGACTTGCATTAACTTTGGATTGTTAAACATTAAAAAAAAAAAAAGACCTACCCCGAAAATAAGACCTAGTGTGTTTTTTTGAGCCAAAAACAATATAAGACAGTGTCTTATTTTCGGGGAAACACGGTATATATAAAAAAAAGTAATGGTGGAAGATAGAGATTTGTAGATTTTTCTGATTAATTGATTATGGGATTTGCATTTTATTACTCATGAAGCAGAATGTTTTGTATTGGTTAAGGTAACAGTGGCTGTTGAGGTAGCATGATTTATTTTAGCACTGCACTTGTTATGGAACTTCAAATTGACTTTAAGTGGTGGAACACCATCTGTGGAATGTGTGGTTGCATTCATAAGCCTTTTAAGTACCATTAAAAAGGTAGCAGTTAAATAACAGCAGTTAAATAACAGAACATAATATATGGTCTATACGGTATGTTTGCATTTAGAGTTTATTGCCTTCATAAATGCAGTAATTTATGACTGAGTGCCTAAGGGCAACTTACTGGCTTTTTAAAACTGATAATATTGCATCAAAGAAAACAACAAATTGGTAACCACTCATTCATGTACAGGGGGTCCCCCCTCAGGCAACCACCCTCCCGATATCAAGGACATCGTTACTTCCTAAACATATAAAAAGAGATTCAGGTCGTACAGAAAAACTTTGCAGATAAATAAAAAAAATCATTTTAACGTTAACCTACCTGAATTTTAACAACATACAGAAATAAAAAGCAGGCAGCTGGATGTGCTATACAATCCTATCAACATCTTTAAGAGTACCAGGAAAACTAGGAGGCTTCTACAGTGCTGTTCGCAGGAGTTTCAAAAAGCAATTTATGAGACTCGCCCAAATCAATCCCATTTGCAAGTGTGAATGGGGTAGATTTAAGTAAGATATCTTTTTTTTTTCACTTCTGCAATACCCAACGATTTTATTAAATACACACAAAATTCTCCCTTTCTTAAAAGGAGAACTATGAGACGAGTGATTTCCACTCACCTCATAGTTCTAGCCGACCTGTGACAATGAGACTGTCACAGGTCGGCTCAGTAGATCGGGAGGTGAGCGAACAGATACCAGGTCCGCTCACCTCTCGATCCTGTCACGGCTCTCTGCCGTGACAGGGGGAGGGCTGAATTCCCCTCTCCGCCAGCGCTGACTGGGGGAACGGATGGGGGAGGGTACAGCTGGCTCTGCCTCTAGATAGGCAGAGCCAGCTGTCACTCACGCAGCTGGGCGGATCCAGTCATCTAAGTCGGGAACCGCTCCGGCGTCTCAGTACGTCTGCAACGGGAGGACGCTAGTTTGTGTCCTCCCGTTACCCTAAGGAGAACTATGGGGGAAAACACTGACCCCAAAGTTCTCCTTTAACAAATGACACCACAAAGCTACTAATTCACTCTCATCATCATTTCACCTCAACAATTGCAACTTTCATCTTGTTGGCCTACCATTACACAGGCTTTTCCCACTAAGTTAGTGGGGATAGAGTTGCTAGATTCTACCAAAAGCCTGGTCCCGATTGGCAACACGTCAGTCCTGTCTGACAAAAAGGTATGAAAACTGGACCAGGTAGTTGCTGCAGATTTGATCTGAGGTAGCACCCGCTTGTTTAGCTCATAAAGAGGCCAAGAAAATTGCTGGATTTCCTCCAAGCACTCGTTTTGTTCAAGTATTCCAAGACATCATCTGATGTCTATGCCTTGCCACTCTACCTTTTTGCTTGGCTAGTTAGGACATAATGGCGGAATAATCAGGTCTTACGTTCTGTGAAAAGTGGAAGCCACTTTACGTAGAAAAGCTGAATCTGGCTTAAGGATGATTTTATCTGAAAGAATAGTACAGTAAGAATCTGCCATGGAGAAAGCGTGAATCTCACACTTCAGGTTGAAACTAGAGCCAACAACATGGCCGTTTTCAAGGTAAGTGACCTAAGAAAACTTTCCTTTATAGGTTCAAATGGAGGTTTAAGAAAACCCTTAAGGACTACTGCCTGGTCCCAGTTTTGACAACTTAAGGAAAAATAAATGTTGCGATGCTCCTGTCAGGCTAGAGGAAACAAACTAAAGTGGGGTTGCACTGATCTCTTTATTTAATGTGGATGATGCGTTTCCTGTGGTAGTTGGGCAGGATCATCTCTCATTGGCTGTCCTCCAAGATGATTGGTGAAAAAACCCACCAGTAGCGTTAGACATCCAACGAGGAAAAGGTAGAATATGTACACTGAACCTCGGCTTCTCTTACTTCGGACAAGCATACCCCCAAAGGGGTTTCTAGGGGACAGGATTACACCAGTGCGGCAATGCCACTGCGCTGCACATGTATAGAACCCTGGGACTAACCCAACACGCTGCACTACATGCTAACGTGGGGGCCTACCATTACAGGGCCAGTGCACAAAGCTTAATTACAGGCTGGCCTCACTTCAGTCCTGTGTGGACCAGGTACAGTCCCTGAAGCTATTGCCATGGGGCACAGATCTGGAAGTTGAGAGGTTGCTGCTATGGCCATAGGAAAACGATTGAAGAAAGGTAGAGGAAAAAAAAAAAAAGGTAAAAACTACTGATCTCTCTCAGCAGAGAAGAGACTTCATCACCTAAGAAAACTAGCAAAAAAAACGGAGGATTTCCTGTTGGATGGGTTCTGCGAGGTCCTCACAGCTCTGGCAAGTGTCCAATCACCTTACACCACCTGCACATTACCCAGTTGTCTATGAATAGTAATCAGATTTTTATTTTTCTCAGTTCCTCTCTGGTGAAACCATTCCCAGCAGGAAAGGAAGTGAGGAAAAATCTCTCTAACAGAGCCTCAGATAGTAAACAGTAAAATCCTGTCAGATTCTAATCCTGATCAAAAACTAAAAATAAAGTTTTAGGTTTGAAACACTTTAAATGAAATAAGCCAAATTAATAAACTTTGTATTAATGTGTATTTTAGCAATTTGCTAAAATAGACATTTGAACTACATACAAGCTTACAGTTTTACCTGCCAAATAATTTGCACTTTTATGCAGCAATCTTGTGGTTTACATGCCTCAGTGTTACTTCCTGGCTCCGATTTAGTACTTTCTGGATCACCTCCTGTTCTCATAGGGGATGATGCCGATGTATTATCCAGTGAGCTGGCTTTAGGCAGAAGTTGCATTGCTGAATCAGGTAATAAGTGTGTCATTTGTCGGCTGCGCAGTGTGATAGAAGTTTGCAAATCACAATACCAGGTGAACAGAAAATACAGAACTCTTTCAGCAAGTAAGACCGTAAACATGCATTTCAGTTGCGTATATAGGTGTTTGCCTGGAGTTGTGCTTTAACATTTTAGAAATATAAGGAATGACTTGTGCTATTTATAAATGCATGTTTTTCCACAACTGGTATATACAAAGCAGGCTTCCAGCTGTACTAAAATGCAATGTACTCATACATTCGTACATCACAAAAAGGCAAACATACACACTGCTTATTACGTAGTGATTTATTTTAAAAATACTCTCATCAACCACCTAGCATCACTAACAAAACGTGTCTGTAATATATGACAATGCCCTGACTGTCAGGGTCTCAGAAATCTTATATTTAGCTTTTAAAATTGTCAGAGCAAGTAGATTTGTGAAAATCTCACATTCACCTGGCAAGCCAAGTTCAACTGTTTTCCTTCCATGCTGGCTTGTTCTTTTGCATGTATGGCCAAGGCTAGCCAACTAATTACATGTGTATCTGACTGTATGCATATATGTATGTACATCATTATATACTATACAAATATACATACATCTATATTTATATAAATATACACCAGTACTCGGTGACATGGCTGCATAAATAAGCATACAAAATGGTGTCGCTTTTTAGCAAAATGGAACCATTTACTAATGATTTTTTTTTCTGCAGTAGAAAGCAAAGTAACAGCATCTGGTTAACTTAAAAATGTTCGAGTTCAGAAACTGGTCTCTTGCTTAGACTGGTAGTGTAACCAAGCAGCATTACGCTTTTTGTTCCTTTATAATATTGTTTTCACAGCCACATTTGTCTAATAATGCAGTGCAAGTTACAGTGGCTAGCTGTTAACTATGGTGGGCTAAAAATAGGTCTGATCTGACATTCCAGCCACAGCACTACTCGTCTCAGTTCAGAGTCAGCCATGATAGGATAAAGGTGCCCATACACCTTACGATTATCGGACTAAACTTTTCGTCCGATGATCGAACCGTCGTACGATTTTCGTACGACGGCCCAATCCTGCCCCGATTATCGCAAGGTTCAATCAGCGGTAGTTAGAAAAAAACACCTGGACGACTTGCGGTAATTGACCGCAATTATTTTCGTTTGCGCATGCGCAGTGTTAATCGTACGACTTTTGACGGACGGAAACGCCACCAACCATGCGAACATCGTACGATCAACCAAAGTTTTCAAACATGCTTGACCATCAAAAGTCGTACGATTGTACAGTACTATCGGTCGGGCACTCTATTCACACGTTACGATTGTCGTACGAAAAGTCGATCGGATACGATTATCGTAAGGTGTATGGGCACCTTTAGACTGCATCCACCACATCACTGATCCGGGCATCAGCTTAGAAACCAACCATCCAATTCTCTGTTATCTTCAAACATATTTCAGTTTCTATAAATTAAAACAGCTGCTAGGAGGAGGAGAGGGCAGATCAGAGGGCAAACTGCAAATCTAATAGGGCAGAAGAAAAACATAGCAGTAGAATAAAAGATAAATGCATTTCCTAATGAGCCAAAACAAAAACATAAATAAAATTCACCTAAATGGCAAGGAAAAAGAAAAGCTGCTGGTTGTAAGCCAATTTCTATTGCTGCGGGTACAGAGTTTCCAAGGTTGCATGAAGGTCAAAAAAAAGGCATGAAAACATTGCTGCTGCAAGTTCATGGACGTGTATAAAAAGTGGTCTATTGCAGGCTGCGGCTCCTGCTTTTAGTTTATGTACAATAATTTAAATCAGCGGTATAAATTCCATTCTCAACACCTTTGAAAAAAACAGAGGAGGAAAAAAAAAAAAAAAAAAAAAAAAAAAAAAAAAAGAGAAAAATCAGTTTTTAAGTCATTCATGCATCCTCTTGGGAAGTTCTGGATTAAGATGTCTGCCAGGAGCCCATCAACGTAGCTGTAGCCATACAGTTCCTATTCACATTCTAGAGTTTGAGTTTCTTAATGGTTTCAAATTTTTTCCTCATGAGGTCCCCAACCTCTTGCAAAGAGTGCAGGTAGCTGTTCTGAACCTTGTCAATAGACAGTTTTGTAAACTTCTTTTCTTCCTGAAAAACAAAGATCTTAATGTAAGTCAGAAGCAATAGGACACAAAAAGCAGCAGACTACAGTAGGTCAAACACCCATGATCTGATATGGGTAGTCCATTCTTTTCAATATTCGAGAAATTTCAAATTTGACCTAAAACCTACACAAAACACATGGATTGTGCTCTCCTCTTCTAACTATACACTGATCAGACATAACATTATGACAACCGAGAGGTGAAGTGAATACTATTGATTTTTGTGTTATAATGGCCCCTGGAAGTGGGTGGGATAGATTAGGCAAGTGAACATTTTGTCCCAGAAGTTGTTAACATAAGGCGCAGGTCAGAAGATACATAGAAGAATAGCTGCGAGACATGATTATACAGGCGGCTAATTTTGAAGTGACTTCTAAACTTCCTGTTAATTAACTTGTTTTCACCCAACATGCTAGAGTTAGTGAGTTCACGACATGTCATTCACAAAGAACAGGTGTGAGGAATGCAACACCCGTCAGCTGGAATAAAGACCTTGTTTTACACCTTGAGTTGCTAATTGAAGCAAATCTGCCCAAGGGGAAGAAAAAACAAACAAAAAACTAACCTCACTGAGTGTTACATTTTCTAGGGAGAGATCTTCAAGTTTCAGTGCAACCAAAGAGGCCTCCAACTCCTTTATGTAGTCATTCATGTCTGTTAGCAACGTTTGCAGACCAATGATGTAGTACTGGAAACCAGTGAACACAGGAGGCTGGAATAGAAAGAGTTAAAAAAAAGACACAGATCTATATATTGTGATACCTAGAACTGACTTATCAAAATGACCAACCTGAACGCTGCAACCCAAATAAACGTACCTACTCTTGAGGTTAACGGTACTACATGTGTTTTATTTGTTGTTTGTACCCATACCACCCAAAATGAATAGTGCATATTTTGCCATTTCTTACCCTAAATAAAATACACTGACAGTACTACAGATACTTACACTAAATAAAGTTGTTTTCTTTAATTGCTTCCTAAAAACACTGAAACTGACCCCAACAGTAAAACTGACACTAAAAGGCCCCAATCTATTTTATTATTTAACACATACTTTTTTCTTATTCTTCTGCTCTAGCCAGAAGAAAAAGGATCCACCGCACCTCTCTCCTCACAGACATTACAAAATATCTTTGACAATGTCATACATTAAGAAAGTGCCCTTGCTTTAATTCCAATTTGGAGAGCCTAGTGGTATTTGGGACCTCGAACACTTACTGTTTGTTTTTATTTTTATACATTTTTCAGAATGACTTGTGTACTAGACCCATCTTTACTTACCATAGTACTACTTTCCTTTTTCTTTTTTTTCTTCTTCTGAAGATTTGACTTGAACGGCCTAAGAACAGCAGCAAAATATCCCGATACCCAGAGAACAATAGATATAGCCTGCAGAGGAGAAAAATGAAACCGTAAAATCAATGCATCATTCTGAAACCACAAACCTTTCCACAAAGCGCTCCAGAAACAAGGATCAAAAGAAAAAAAAAAGTTGAGTAGAGATGGAAAAGATAACATTTTACCATAAAAGCTATGTGCTGCTGTCAAAACATTTCTTCACATAGGGGAAAAAAAAGTGTATGCACGAGGTGGTAAGGACACATCAGGGTGATTGATAAATTACACTGGGGAACATTTATTTTTTTAAATTTTCTGTTGTATGAGATTGTTCAACTGATTCTAAATTTATTTTTTCAACAAATGTGAAAAAATTTCAAATATGAAATCGGTTTTCCTCTACATGCAATTTGAAACTTGCCAATGCCATTCACGCAGCATTTCTGCCACTAGATCAGGCCTGGGCATTTTATGGCATGGACATGGACCAATCGCAGACCTGCACTCATTTATGGTTGGCCAACAGTGGATGCACTGGCCTCCAAGGCTGGTGCATCCATTGCAAGACATAACCCAGCACAGGTTGACAATTGGTCCATGTCCAGACTACATTCCTCTTCAGTCATGGGTCCTCCGCCTCCTCTGCAGTCATTGGTTGCTAGTATTGCTGGGCGGCTGCCATGCGTTACAGTGCACTACTTTTTTCAACTGCAATGCACGGTATTGTGGGAAGTGCTTTTGGGGTGTCATTTAAAATGAATGACAACTCAATGCACCTACTGTACTGCAATGCACAGTAGGTGAGTTGCACGGTATCGTACATGTCATATGAAAAACTGGCACTGTTGTGGAGGTCTCTCCACAACAGCCCCACTTTCTCACGTGGCCCCTTGAAAAAATTAACTACCCACCCCAGCACTAGATAAAGCAGAGGAGAATAGGAAATTCCTATATACTGTATACTGGGCAGATAATTTATAAATCATCCTGCTAGAGAGTAATCTGATGGTTCCACTCCAAGCATTTTCCAATAGGTAAATTATCAGTGACAGGACTTTCTCATTGCACTTTAGAGTCTCATTGCAATTTAGGTCATGCATATAAAGTTAATTGTTTTATTGGACAAATTGTTGAGGAAAGATTTGTACGTTTTAGGTATTAAAAGCTTTAACTGGTCGGTTTGATCAATAATATTTTTTTTTCTTTTAAAAAAAGGAACAGTTGGCCAGCAAGGGAGATTCTTCCTTCCACTCTAAATTCTCTTGTTATGCCTGCAAGGCTGAACGAGAGAAATCCAAGCATGTATGGCTAGCCTTAGATTGCTACAAATAGTGACAAATGAATCGATCCACAAATCTGGTAAATACAATTTTATTTACCTAAATATATTCATGAAAACTTGGGAAAAGGATACCATCCTTTAAAGGACTTGATACTCCTGAGATGCCAATCGGTTCTTGATGAACCGGCCGAAATTCGCACAGTGGCCTTTCAGCCGGCATCCCTCGATTAGTTGATCGAAGGAGCCGATTGGAAAATCTTCAAACGATTCGGATATTCAGACAATAGCCGATGACCGCTGTTAGAATACAATAAAGACAGCGGGCGATTCATCGACCAACGCTCATAAGTGTTGATAGAGGAATCTGTTATGTTTCCTTCGTTCAGCCCGCAGGTATGGGCAGCTTTATAAAAAAGGACAAACCTCCACAAAGAAGGCCAAGTTCTCAATAACACGAGGTGAGGTCTTGCAGTGTCCTTCTCGGTAAAACAGAAGATCTCCTTTACACTGGCTGAAAAGATCTGACATAAAAAGTATGAGTTAGTATTTGTGAATGTACAGGCAACAGTAATATACTTTAAGCATTTAGCACGTACCTTTTAAATTGCCTAAAGAAGAGTTTAATCTGTTCCCAATTTTTTCTTGGATATCGCAACTATCATCTGGAAAGAGATGAAGTTTTAAAGAAAACCAAATCATATTTAAGGGCTGTAAGTGCAGCTTTTGAGTGGTTATAACGGTGTGTTGCAGGATTTCTTTCAATGCACGGTTTCACTGTTGTAAAGCACACCCAAACTCCTGCATGCAAGCGTTTGTTTGGGGGAACACTATCAAAGCACAGAACAAGCATTTGAATTTAACTTTTAAGATAAACCAAGATTACGATTTAACTGAAATTTTAAGAAGTGAATGAGTCCCAAGGTTTAGCCCAGGCTGCAGGTCACGTCTAGCAGAAAAAGGTGACAAGGCAGCTCTTGGGAAATCTTTGTACATTCTACTGTACTGAAAGCGACATTAAATGCAAAAAATGAGCCAATCATTTGGCTGCAAATGTAATGCTTTCCAAGAAAGATATTCCATGTCTTCTGAATAAGCATCTGCTCATTTCCAAGTCAGAGCATACTCCAATCCAAAGAATCAGGAATGGCAATGTTTTGCAGCCTAATTTGGCACTTTAGCAACAAATTAAGAGTGTGATCTGATCTGCATTCATAAGCCAGCACCTTAGTGCAGAGCTGTCCCAAAGCAGAAGATTTAGCAATGTTCTTTAAAAGGATTCTAAACCCAGAGTACATCTGCACATATGTACAAATCAAGTGATCACAATAATGGTTCAAACTGCAGAATGAGCGAAAGTTAAACAAGAAACATGAGCAATATTGATTGTCCTACTCCATGGTAAATGATTACCTCTAAGAGGTATTACGGGGAGGGGGGAGTGATAAACTGCTAATAGAAACTGATGACACACTGAAATCATAGGACAGTGAATTTGCAGCATGTTATATACAAGTGAAAGAACAAGATCACCAATACTAGGGCAAAAGAGAAAAGGACAACACACTATAAACTAAAGAAATTGGGAACAAAAAGTGTTAACGTTATCTGCTTGTTGTTGGATTAATTACGCATCATCCCAATGGCGGCTCACTGCCTTTAGAGAACACATTGCAGGCATCTAGTATCAGGAGGGTGAATTCATAACAAAAAGTGAGACTAAATCATACCTATGCCACATGAATCAAGCTGATAAATATCATTCACCAACTGGAACGTCTCCTTCTGACACTGACAGCAGCCACTGCTTAAGAATCCACTGAGCCGAGAGGCTGGAGGTCCAAGGAAATGATACTGTGAAGAGAACAGTAAATAATTTAACAGGCATTTTTTGTAAAACCCAGCTAATCCAAATCGCCATGATGAATATAGTCGCAGATCTGTCAACATTCATTGCCATTTTAATGCAATAAATCATCCAATTACCAGAAAAAGCATTTTTGGCTTAATGTGTAACAAATGTGGCAGTGAACAGTGCTGATGTTTGAGAAAACAACGCAAGTTTATTTTTAGTTTTGTGTGTTGTGAAAAAAAAATTGTCTCGAATGGCTGCCACAGCACATCAGTGTGGCACACCAGGTATATGAGGTGGCATAGCTCTCCCAGCCATGCCAATACCAGTTTGCATGCCTTTAACAAAAATGCATTTAAGTACTTATTAGGACAAATGTATCTTATTTGTGTATCACTCAGCTGTAGATCCCCAAATCATCTCTGTCCTTCCTTCTGAAGGGTGGCTATTTTTGTTCCCCATGGACCCTGTGTGTTTTGTAAAGTAGCCACCACTCCAAGCTCGCTCCTGTGAAGAATTAAGAATTGGTAAACTAAATGTGATTATAGGCCATCACAGGAGTGAGATTGGAGTGGTGGCTACTTTACAACACACACGGACCATAAAAATAGCCACCCTCCAGAAGGAAGGACAGTGTCGGCACCAATTCAGAGATGATTTGAGGATCTACAGCCGAGTGATAAACAAATAAGATAAACATTTTTGTTAAAAGTTAAAGGTACGGAGGAGCAAAGCAAAGGCTCCACCTTCCACACACATCTACCTCTGGCTGTAAAACACACAGGTTTAGCACTATGAACCATTTTCCATAGCAAAATGCAATGCTTTGTGTTTCCAGACTGGTGTAGTGCAATGTACAGGTTTAAAGTGAAACCAATATTCACAAAATTATAACCCGTTTACAGTACAGAAAGCACCATTCACCACTGAACAGAAGTTTGGCAATTTTGTATTATCCAAATCTGAAAGTACATCCTCTGGGCAAACGCACTTTTTAAACGTAGTGAATGTGCAATCATTATCTTTATGTACACCCCAGAGCAGTATCTTCAGGGAACAATGAAAATGAAAAGTGAATACTCTAAAAGGCCACCAAAAGCCGTTCAGGAAATAGCTGTACCTTGATATTCTTCTCACTAAACCGTTTCCCAGAATCCACTGCCTCCTCAAACTGCTGTAACAAGGTGCGGACTGTATCAATCTTGGAGGACACCCCATTCTCAGTAGCCTTTTCAGAATTCTTGGGCTCAGTGTGGTTGAGAGTGGTCAGACCACTAATTAGTCTTAAGGTCAGGGATCGGATAAGCAGCCAGATACGTTCTTCTTCTAATGAGAGCTGGCTGTCGTCTTCTGTATGGTCTCTAGAAAAAAGGGAAACCATGATGATTTCTACAATACAGCAAAATCTGGAAAGTAAATACTAAACTGGATTTCCACCTTTGGAAATAGAAATGCTTATGGCCCTGTTTGTAAAAGCAACATTATGGGCTTAATTCTTATCTGAGGGCTGAATGTATGTGCTGATAAATCACTGCTGTTGCTAATATATTTAGAACAGAAGTGGGTTGGAATCTAGAATAACCTTAAAGGCCATTCAACCCAAAAGATTATTCAGTACAGGTAGCAATTAATTTACGCTGGGGTTAGGTTCCTGAGGGGATGGTTGTAAATTGAAACCCAGTATATAATGTAAGTGAATGGGAAGCGAGGGAGATATGTTCCTGACCTTTCTCAAAATTGACATAATAAAATACAGGTACATTATATTTAAAGTTGCTGCATGAGCTTTAAATAAAATGTACATGTATTATGTTACTTATGTCAATGAGAGAGGCTTGGAACCTAACTTCCTTACTTTCCACTGGCTTACATTATTTACTGCGTTTCAGTTTACACCAGTTTCTATTTGGAACAATTCCTTGTTTTGAGAGAAGCCTGGAACCCAACTCCCTCACTTCCCATTGACATACATTATACATTTGGTTTCAATACACAATACTCTCAGAAAGGGTGCTATTTTGAATCAGTGTAAATTGAACAGTTGTAAACCGAGGGCCACCTGTGCTTGGTAGATGTTGGGGTCAAACCGCCTGACAGCTAGTTGAGTTTCCAGGTTTGCAGACCTGCTACGAATATTAATAGAGGATTCCTTTTGTTGGAGTTGCTTATTTTATTTTAAGGAGACTACAACAGAAAGAGGTGGAGCAAAAAGTCAGAAATGATGACAAAGAGCTCACAGTTGGGAGTATCCAAGACATAAGTCAGGGGCTGACCAAGCCTACCAGGCTGCACCTACAAAATACCATACTGTGGTCTTCATAATGCAGAACACAAGCTCAAAAAAAAAAAAAAAATATATTTCAGAAAAGCACAACTGCTACTTTGGAATTGTTAAAAGTTGCTCAAAACCTAAAGTGCTACTGTAGCAAAAACTGTTCTAGTTTTGGATAGAATACAGAGGGATTAGAACTGGATGGTTTTTATGTGCGTCTCCATCAGGGAGATTCACACCCTTATCCTGGAGACCTTTATCAATGAAAGAAAGTCTAAAATTTTGGGTTGTCATCAGAACAGGAATGGATAGGAAATCTTCCAATGGGGACACTAGTTCTGGTGACCACCAAGGATTTGACTCTCTCTTTGGAGCCATTACCTCTCGCCTCCTGTTGTGGCTATTGGACAGGAAGTGAGATCTCCCCAATGGGACCCGCTATCCAAAACAAATGTTTTGGCCTCAGCTTTACTTTTACTCTCCCTATTACGCAAGAAAAGATCCCTGTTTCAGACATGCAGAGAATGAGAAGGAAGCATCCAGACTCCGAGGGTACTCCTTAGTCTCCATTCACCTACGAGCAAGGCTAGTACCTAGAGGTCTGCTGTGTGTCACAATGACAGGTAGGAGAAAAAAAAACTATTGCAATTATTTGGAGATTTGCTTCCATTTTAAACTTTACATTAATCATCTTTCTTTGTATCAGAGCACACACATACACATCTCAGCATTCATAATAAAATGCAATTGGCACAAATCTGATAGGACTTGTTCTGATGCTGGAGGGAAAACAAAATGGGTATTTCTCAGTACCAACAAACTAAAGCGGGCATCATCAAACCTACACTTTAAAAATGACAAATTAATCTGGTTGCTATTGCAACACTATAATATTTTTCAAATATGTCGGCATTAAATATTTACTCGATTTTTGCATCCCAGTTGAAAAGAACTGTTAGATCCCGGTTATCTCGTAAGTCCTTCCATGGAATGTCATCTTCCTCTGGAATCAGACACATTGACTTGATGCTGTCTTCCAAGGTGCTGGAACTGAAGCAAACATTTTTTTCTTAGTGACAAAAGGAACACAATGGAAAAATACTAATGTATTGCTAGCATTGCCTAACCAAGGCAATATATGTGCAACATGGTCAACTACACAAGAAAATATTAACTCACATATTTGCTTCAAGTAAAAGGTCCAGTAACATTCGTTCTGTGCGAACTTGTGCGAAATGCAGAGAATTGTTCAGCCGGTTTCTAAATTCAATAAATTCTGGGATTTTCTCAAAGGCTCCATATTTGTAAGCTTGTATAATATATTCTGAGGTCTATCAAAATCAGGTTAAAAAAACTTTGTCAACAAACACTGAAAGAGATGATAATAACTTAAGCAATAGTGATCATCAAATGTAAACCTAAAACACCATCAATATAAAGAATGCATTACGAGAGTTTTGCTCAAAACATACTGTAGAAGGACATACTTAAGCACAAAAAGTAAAGAAATGACATAAGTTAAGTAAAGCCAAACAAGCCACCCAAAAGAGAAGTAAAGCCACCTTTTTGGCTTTACTTCTCTTTTGGGTCATTTACCAATGTACTCCTGTGACTCAAAACCAGCATATAACAGTTTAATCTGGGCTGCTATCTGCAAACAGCATAGAGCCATGCCAAAGTTGGGAAGAATCCCGAAAATATTGTCCCAAGTAGCCAGCCATGCATGCCCCCTCCAATGAGGACAGGAAAAATACAGGGGGGGGGCGCGCGACAGCGACTGTCACTAATCTACATAGGGAGAAGAGTCAGAGAGCGGACTTATCAGGGGTCACATGATCACTCCTCTCTGCACAGAGCGGTGCTGGACGGCAGGAGTGTCCCCACAACTTTTTTTCCCATGGTCCCCGTGTGTTGTAAAGTAGCTATCACTCCAGTCTCGCTCCCATGATGGACTACGTCAATAAAAATTAGTAAACTAAACCATGGGGAACAAAAAGTAGCCACCCTCCAGAAGGAAGGATAGTGTCAGCAGCAATTCAGAGATGATTTGAGGATCTACAGCTGACTGATACACAAATAAGGTCCAGTATTGTTAATAGTTAAGGTACTTGAATGCATTTAAGATTTAACTCCCGAGTTTAGTATTAATTTAAAATCTTTTTAAAATGTACTGGGTATTAGTTTAAATTAGTTGGTCAGTGGCTCAGATACATGCAAGATTAATATGTTCACAGTAAAAAGGTGAAACTGTTTAAATGCAGCAATCCACAAAGGTCTTTCAGGTTCAACCACATGAACATATTTAATAATTTGTATTACAAGTGAACTCAGTTTTGCAGATGAGGCACATTTCCATTTTTTTATTTAATGCTTCTAAGCAACTAAAAATCTTCTGCATCCCCGAACCGTTAAACTGATTCCGGGATTTCTAGTCTGCAAAAATTGTGCTACCCTACAGATGGTACCAGAAATCAGAGGTTGATTGCTGAGCTTTACTCATATTAGTTGTGATGCTTAATGGGTCAGCGCCCTTAAAGCACATAGTTCCTATTTTTGGTGGGAAGTTCACAGCTTATTGTATATCTCAAGAACTCGCGTGACCATAATGAGGGGCTCCGAGTGTCCATGCTGGATTTTGACTTGTATTATGAAGAATGCAACAGGAGAATGCCCACGAGGGTGGGCAGAACACAACAAAGTCCAGGCAGACAGATAAGGTCAAGAATTAGAGACAAGCTAAAAGGCATAAACAAATCTCATGTTTGGGCGGAATTGCTTATTAAAATGTATATTTACAATGGGCAGATCACCTTAGAAAATACAGGAAAGGCATTTCAAGTCATCACCAATATTTTATTAAAAAAGAGGATTTATTCAGCCATACAAGGTAAAAAGGTAAAGCTTGACTTTAATTAAAAACAAAAATGTAAATGGTAGACTAAAATGTGTAATCAAAATACTCACATCTTTCTGGTTGGAGTGGAAAAACCTAAGTGCGGCATTGCAGGCTTGGGATGCAGAATTATAGTGACCCAGCGGTCCCGCAAAACGAGTCAGCAGATAACTGCAAAATAAGAATTACTGTTACTTTCCCAACAGCATAATGCAACTATTATTCTTAGCATTATAGTGTATGTAGACTCTAACAATGTCCTTTTCTCCCCTTTGGTTTGTTAAATATAGAATTGAATGCATTTCTTTTATAGCGGTTTAATGGGCAAAAAAAAATTAAAATTCATAAGAACTGCCCAGTTCTCCCTATAGACTACAATATACCCGCCTTCAATGTTATAGAGATGAGAGGGAAAGGTGTTCTTTAGTTCTAACAGACTTCATGTTCTAGTGTAATCATACTGCTCCTCCAAAGATACACTACAGTGAATAACCATCGTCAGAACCCCAGGACAGGGAGTTACTTGCAGCATCAAAAGGGTCTGAAAAAAAAAAAAAGCTTGGACGCCCGGCAGTGACTTCATGCAGTGAGAAAGGCGCACAGCAGCTGTACAGCACCGGGAATATCGCTGTAAAGCACTGAAGTAGCTCCAGCTACTACACTGTTTTACAGGATCCTTGTGACCCTGCCAGGGATAATTTATGTATACTTACATTTTGCCAAATTAGTTATTTAATCCTTCTTCTAATAAAGTTAGAGCATGCCAAACTGCCCAGTCCTCGCCTGCAAGAAAACAAGAGGGTTAAAAAGTCCTTATCTTACTGAAGTGAAAGCTCAGCAGTCTTTTTCCACAAAAGTTTTCTAAAAAAAAGGGTTGAATAAAAAAAAAATTTAATTTTTTATTTTATTAAACGTTAATTTTTTTAACAATATTGCTTTAATGTAATTTTGTATTTTATTTGTTCTTTTTATCTTTCTCGCCATCACAAAGGGGGATGATAAGCCCCCTATATGATAGCACTGTGGGAGTGACATTGGGGGTCTTTTAGACAACTGACGTCACCATTCACGTTACCGCACACATGGAAGCTGTAAAGTCACCCAAATCCATTCCATGGGAGAGCTGACAGCCCACTGTTGGAATGTAAACAAACTTCTGGTTGCTATAGTGATAGTGAGTATGTTTATAGGCCACTGCTGCTGCTGACATACATCTGTGGAGGCTGTAGGGTTAAAGCATCAGATAGTACAAGTGGAGATAAAGCGGTAAAAAATAAATAAATCATCAATTAGATTATCAATGTTTACAGCCTCTATCAGATATTTATTGTCACCTATGTCACACTGGGGAGAATTCGCCTCACTTGCTGTTGTGTCATAAGGACAGGAAGTGAGGAAAAATATTTCCAACTGAGACTAAGATACCCGACACAAGTTTTTAAACCATTCTCCACTCTAAAAAGACTTTGTCTGGGGTTTGTTTAAAATCTCACTAGAACCTTTTGAGTGTTCTATAACAGCAAGTCATTCCCAAACAAAGAATATACTTACCACTAAGCCACAAATCTAGAAGCAAGTGGGCTCCTATGAGACAGTAGTAATCAGAGAATTGCAGCTCTGTTTTCAGACAAGATTTTCCTAAAGAAGGAAACACTGATGTCAAAGATTTTTTTCCCCCATTATGAGAAAGAATTAAAATACGTACTAACAGTGCATTTCAAAACAATAAAGAAGCCAATGCTTAAAGAAATCTCTCATCATTTTTTTTCAATCATATTTTATTTAACCACTTGAGTCCCAGCTGCAGTTTTAAAAGCTTGCGCTATAGGAGCACGTTGGAGAAGTGAAAGCAAACTTCTGTGGAAGTGTTTTGTTTACATTGGGAGTGTAGTGACATCCACTGACCAGCTCCAGACCCCCCCACGGAAGGTAAAAAAAAAGAAAAGATTTAAAAAAAAATATGACACACTATAGTTTTACTTTAAATCACTTTTTTGTTCAAAGTTTGGGGTAAATATATGGAGATGTGCAACTTACGGAAATATTGCAAAAGAAAAAAGCTTTTCTTTTTAATTTTTACTACATATTCCTAGAAAGTAGGAATGCACCGATACCGAAATTTTGGTATCGGTACGAGAACTGATATTTTTTTTCCGGTACTCGCCGATAACGAATACCGAGTATTGGAAGTCCCATTCAGGAAGCCATAAGGCGTGTAAAGACTCGCCACCCGGCTTCCCGATTAGCAGGGAAGCCATTCCCATGCTTCTCATCACTAGGTG